GGCCGGCTCCTCCGCGCTGCCCCGGGTCCCCGCTTCCCAGCCCTCGCCGGCTCCTGCGCCCCGCCGCCCGCCGCCGCTCGCCTCTGGGCTGCCGCCCGCAGGACGAGCAATTTTAGCGTGCGAATTACGAAGTCAACTTCCTCGGGGTGGTGGGGGGTGTGGCTGCAGAGAACTGTCCGGAGGGGGCCAGCCGGCTCTGCGGCCGTCTGTGCAGGCGCCAGGGTAAGGAAAGTGGGAAAGCCTTCCATTAGGGGTGATCCCAACTCATATTTCCCGAGGACCGGGTATTTCCAAGAGTTAAATAGGAGGAGGAATATTCATGCCATGTAATCAGACAATGGCTGGGTTTCTCGCGTCGGATTACTCCGTGTGGGTTAACTGAGGAGGAGTTGGGATGCTTCTAAACACTCAATCTTTGCTGAACAAACTCACTGTACAGAATAATTGCATTTTTGCCTGCAGTAGGGTCTAACTCTGCTAATATGATTAAGTAGTTCTTGGTGGACAGAAAAGCGTTTCCGAGGGCTCTCATATGTGACTAGGTGATATGACATATATCGCTAAGGATCTTGAAATCCTGTGGGTGGTGAATCCAATGAGGATTCCAAACTTTTATTTGAAGCCCGAGAGATTTAGAAGACGGTCAAGGTTAAGTGCGGGCAATATGGGAGTTGGTTTGGCTGGTGTAAAATCTGACAAGCTAAATTTAAGCGCTGGGATAATTAAACTAACGAGGCTTATTATTTCTTTTCTTTCACAACAAAATTAACCATGTCTCTAACTAGGTCTTGAAAGCTTCAGTGATTTAATCAATAACCAGTATCTAGATGAATTTAACATTATTTATATGTCAAATTGACTTTAGAGAGAACGAGGGTGAACAGACATATACCTAAGCAAAATGTTTGCTTGTTCTTTCTGGTTTGGGGGGAAATTATATGACGCTTGCATAGATAATGTCGAACAGTATGGTAAAAATTAAAATAATATACTTGGGTGAAATAACACAAAATACTGAGTGACCATGCCCCTCTGGGCATTGAGAGTTGTTTCAGATACAGCCTATGAAACAATTCTTATGTGGATTTTTAATTGCTTCTGCTACAGAAGATACGCATTCAATAAACATTACATTATATTTTAAGGATTATTCATATATTTTGCTGTTCATATTAGAATCTAAGCTCTAACGTGAGAACTAAGATCACTCATGAAAGTGACCTTATTTTTGTGGTCTTTTCCAGTTTTCATAAAAAGATTTTATTTACTGATTTGGGTTGGCTGAATAAAAAGGGGACAGTTATTCCTCTTATTTATTTAAGTAACTTTTACCTAGTTGATCTTTATTAATCTGGTTAACAGAGTTTCATAGTCACTAGAGTTAAACCGTTAGGCCTAGAAGCATAAAGGTAAATGATTATTTCTGCAAAGACAAATCTCAAACCCTTAATAATAGAAATAAAGAATTGAATTTGTAGTAAACCTTTATGTCTTTAAATGTGTATTCTTGGATACATGATTTGGTCCCACATGGGATTTTTAATCTTTTATTTATTTATTTGGTAGATTAGAAGATTATTCACACTATGTTATGAATGAAAAAACTATAAAGTTTTGGAAGATGAAGTAACTTAACCTATTTGCTTCAAAAGTGGAATAGAATGAAGTTCTTAGAGTGCAGATTTCAGAGACAAAATTTCTAAGTCCCCAACTACCTTCTCGTCATAGCATTTTTTTGACTAAGTCAAAGGACTGTCTTTATGACCTAAGCATCCAAAATTGTGACTGTCTAATGCCTTATGGTAGAGGTTATATAGGATTAGGATCTCATACTCAGATGATAATTGTACTTAGGGTAATCACTATAGCTATGCTTTTTCTTGTAATGTAAAGTGCTTGTAAGTAATTAAACGTGCTTTCAAGAAGGATATAGTTTGAAATGCAGATTCAAGAAAGTTTAATCTTAAAATTTAAACTTTAGGATTGCTTTGGCACAATTTGTCACAATGTTATCACTCCCTCCCCCAGTACTTAATTCTAACCTTAAGTGTCAAAAATACACAAATTGGCTCTGGGTCATGAATTCTCAGAATGACACAGCTGTTTAATATGTGGATTTCATGCATGAGATGTGAGTTAATCCTTCAAGTAAGCAAATGTGTTGGAACTCTTTGTTTTTCCCTTATTTTTCAATCAAAGTAAAGAAAAGTTGGGCCAGGGAGATAGCTCAGTAGAATAAGTGCTTTCCTGGCAAGTGCAAAGGCCTGAATTCAGTCCCTAGTTCTGCAAAAAATAAATAAACAAAGAAAGAAAAATAAAGAAAAGTTGTAGCAGATAAGGAATGTTTTTAATTTAAGTGAGTCTGTGAGTGAAAGTCGAATTGATAATATGATACTATTTGGCTAAAAATGGTAGTAGTGTGTGTGTGTACACATGTGTGTGTAAATTCATATATGCCTCCTTTTCACGTATTTTAGAGTAAGTTGGAACAGTAACAACTGAACAAGTCAAGTTCTTCCTTTCAGGTGACTCAGTAATTGAGTGATGAGTAAAATCCCAAAGGGCTTTCACATTATACTAGAATCATGTAGATTATCAGTAACAAAATAATTTCTTTTCAGTATGTTAAAAGTTTCTCTTAGTTTTTGATGAGGCCTGAATAAATCATTAAAAAATAATCAAATTCTCTCATCAGTAACACAATTTGTAAGAAGAATCACACAAAAAGTAATTAACTATTGAGCCATTAAATTTTGACACTTTATTTTAAAATATCACCAGAAATATCTTTTTTCCAAGGACATGAATATGTAGGCAGAAAAAATGAATTGACTTTGCATTATAAAATCAAAGAACATTCGAGGATCAACAGCCAAACTTGGCCTTCTCCACATCATCCTCCTGCAAACCCAATAACTCTTAATTGTATCCTGGCCATTGTACAACTAAAATGGAGTTGAGTTAGATTTTTTTTAAGCATGAAAGAGAGGATAAAAAAAGTGAGACTGATTTTTCAAAGAGATATTATCTAATAGTGCCATGTTGCCTTTCAATATCTGTGTTGTAGATTTTAAATACAATTAATGAATTATTTTTAAAATATTTTGAACCTTGCATTTATTTCATGATTTAAAGCTTGTGATTAGCAGCTTAGATGTGAAGTTACTAAATTAGCTAATGTAATGTAACACATCTGTCTTGTGGAATATTTGACGGAGTGTTAGTTTGCAATGTTTAGTTAGAAACTAGACAATACATCTAACAGGAAACAGGAATATCAAGGTGGTTATTAGCAGAATAATAAAAAGTATTTACATATTGCAGCCTATTTAAAAAAAATTGCCTAATTCAGTCAGTGACACTTAAAAACTTGAAAATTGTAATGTTGAAAAAACAACTTTAGTTGGTATGGAAAAATTTATTGTGAAAATGAGAAAATAAAAGCAGTTTATTATATACAATATTCAATTATTTGTGTATTTTCTAAATGAAAGAATAAAAATTAACTCACTTTAACTGTCTAAGTCATTCAAAAATTATCTGTTTCTTCAAACTTAAACAGACTGTATACTTCCTGTTGACAATATAATAGCTTAGTGGTTAGAGTTAACTTAGAGATTGCAGTTTCAAGAGATTATAAACTTGCAGCCAAAGAGAGGTATTATGTATCATGTACAGGTACAGATTCCTTACAATGAACATGATCATTATGTATGCCTACATTATACCAAATTAAACCTAAGTAAACTTCTATAAATTTAATCAACTGGGGTAAATCATAAGAAAGTAAACTGAGACCCTGGTGAAGCCCAGTTGTGTGACGTAGGTGGAACACAATATGGATTGCTATGAGGAGACAGAGAAAGCACTTCCATTGGAGGAAGGGAATGGGTCCTAATAGACTGAGATCAAATCTACTCTGAGTTAAGGATGGGCACTGGGTAGGAGAAAGAGGGACAGACTAATGAGCTGCAAGAGTTTAGGGAGTTGATAACTAGCTAGGGTGCTCACAGGCTCTTTCTGTACTGACTGCCCCTTTGTTTTCTTTAAGCAATGATGTGTGAAGTGATGCCCACGATTAACGAGGACACCCCGATGAGCCAAAGGGGGTCCCAAAGCAGTGGCTCGGACTCAGACTCCCATTTTGAGCAACTGATGGTGAATATGCTGGATGAGAGGGATCGTCTTCTAGACACCCTTCGCGAGACCCAGGAGAGCCTCTCACTGGCACAGCAAAGACTGCAGGATGTCATCTATGACAGAGACTCGCTCCAGAGACAGCTCAATTCAGCCCTGCCACAGGTATGCTTCCAGGAGGGTTTGTCCTTCCTGCTATCACTGAAAATGTGATAAGGTTTTAATAAGACATGCTTGATTTCTATTCCTATCATTTCTATTCCACATAAGGTGTATAATATGTATGTTTGTGTCAGAAGAAATGAAGAATAGAGATTTGATTCATATTAAACTTGCTTCAGACAAAATCATGATGTGTGTAGAATGTGTATGTTGTGTGTGTGTGTGTGTGTGTGTGTGTGTGTGTGTGTGTGTGTAGCATGAGTCCTTATCTGGTTTCTGTTTTGAAAATTTTGTCTATGCTTTTGTAGGAGTGATAAACCACTTGTTGATCAGATTTTACTTTCCAGATTGTGGGGGAATTGTTTTTCATTTCTTTCCTGTTAAACACAAATATTTGGAAATATCTATCTAAATTTTCAGTCATGTGTCTTTCTACAGAAATGATAATAGTTTGGGACTCTACGGTCCAATAATTGTTTTTTCTTTCCTTAAAAATGGCTAACACCTAGCTTAAAATTCTTAAAATTACTGACGCATTATTCTTTCTCATTAAAAAAATACATTTTAGCTAGGGAAATGTCTGGAGATTAAAAAAACAATGCTATTGAATTTGCTGTCATGAACAAGGCCCTGATCTTATACCCAGCTTGACTGAAAATGAAAACCCACTAAACTTCAATTTATTTATTCTTAGTTTAAAAACTTTGGAAACTGAGAAAAGGCAAAAGTTCAGTGTTAGTCTTGCAAATTTATGTTGTTAAAAACATTTCTGTTAATATTTGATTTTATAAAAATATTTATGCTTGCCAGCTTATTTGCTTAATGCTTTTGGTATAGGGGCCCACTATACAGCTTGGACTCCTAGTGATTCTCCTGTTTTCAGTGTACCCCGTGGTGGGTCCCGCAAGGCCTGTGATGTCAGCTGGGTCTCTGCACTTGCCTAAGCAGGCGCTCAGTCCACTGAGCTGTCTTGCCAGCTTATTTGCACAGGGTTCTTATTAAGGATCTACTTACTTATAGAAAAATTCCATAGCTGAGCTTCTTTTATACATGAGAAGAGACATAGTTAGTAATGTAATTTGTAGTAGTCATCTCCAATGAGCTATGGTTTTCTTTTAAAGACAACTTTGTCCTTTAGATTAAAAGATAATAAAGCAAATATCAAATAATTCACTTCTTCTTGTGAAGCATTCTAGTAGCACACATCCTTTCAGTGATTTTGAAAATTCTGTAGCAAAAGTCGATAAAATTTTCAATCCTGTTGTTTTATTAATTTGCAATGTAATATGTAATACCTGTGACCCAGTGCCATTAGATAATCCTAGAACCCTATATAAATAACTCTGATTCCAACCTTTTACATTTTTAGTCTGTTTGTTTTGGGTTGAGATGAAAGAACTTTTCAAATAACTTTCTCTTGTTGATGAAATTCTTCATTTGATAACTTAGGATATGTTGATTTATTTCAAAGGAAAACTATCAAATCTTCCCCAAGAATTACTTCTGTCAGGGGAGACACTTCAGTCTTCACACGTGCTTTTCCTGGGTTGTTTCTTGAACTCCCATTATCATGCTCAGGGCTCTGTAAGACTGAGTTGGTTAACGTTGTTGGGAGAGTTGGATAGCAGAATCCACATGCTGGACCTCACCTTCTGTAGTAGGCACAGAAGGGCAGCCATTTAGCTTTTCAGGTACAGTATTTTAATCAAGAGGCCTATGAATTTAGTAGATTGGGGACAAGTAGGAAATACATTCAGCATGTCCTGGAACAGCAGTCAGTTGACATTTTAATTTAAATAAGTTCTACAATATGTTCCATTTTCCTCTAAATTGACAATTTGATCCCACCTATATGACCGCATATATCCTTCCTACATCTGTATTTCTTTTATTCAAGCTTAGTGTTTTTTGTTTTTTTCTTTATCTGCCTCAATTATAACTACCAAAATGTGTCTAAATGTAATGTGGGCTTTTGAAAATGTTGCCACTTCCCTAAGAGGCTTAATTATTTTATAAGGATGTTGTAAAAATGATACGTTAGAAAAAGATAGTTGGGGGAAAGAAGGGAAATTACTGGTAGTACTTTTATTGAGAACTTTATTGTGAACATCAATCTTGTAAGCACAAAAATGAAAAAAATCTTAATTCTAGTAAGCTAGATTGACAATCTAGTTTATGATGCCATTGAAAATTTAATGTTTTAATTATATTATATAATATAATTTGTTACCCAAACTCTGTGAGGGCAGTTCTTTGAAGTTCAGAAGTTTCCTAATTTTCTGCATGTGCAAAGTATAACAAATACATAGCAAATGTTTAAATCAAAAAGTACAAAGATACATCATGTACTAACTCACAATGAATGTGGTCGGCATCTGTCACGAACAAGAAGTGATAATATCAATAATAACAGAAATAGTACTAATGGAAATAGGGAGAAGAAGACCTAGAAAGAGAAGAAGGAGACTAGGAAGAGGTACTGGGATAAAAAAATCAAAATATGTAAAGTTCATGTACCTACTCTCTAAGACGTATGTAAACCTTGTATACTAAGAAATATATTTTTAAAAGAAACATTGCCATTAACCCTCCTCAAAATACTTCTTCTCACCTCAAACACACTTATCCCATGATTCTTGCCACTTTTATTTATTTAATGTTAATGTATTTGGTACAGGGTCTCACTACACACCTCAGACTTATAGTGATCCTTCAGTTTTCAGCCTCCCCGGCACTGGGATTACAGGCTTGTGTCCCCAGCCAAACCCTGTTGCCTAGGGTGGGGCCAGTGTGGCATGCTGGGGATTGATCCCTGGTCCCTAAGCTTGCCTAAGCAGGCACTTAGTCTACTGAGCTATCTTGCCAGCCTCTTGCCACTTTTAGAACAAGTTCTAGAAGTTTTCTTTAATGAGTAGCTTTAGTCTCAATATTGTAGCTTCCTTAATGTCCTGAATTCATGCCTAGTATCTACCTTTCATGGTCAGTCCAGTTTGAGGGGTCATTTCATTTGGTATAATAAGAATCACAAGTTTCACAACTGCAGACTTACTGAATAAGGTAGATGAGGACGGATAATAATGTTGTTTGACACAAAGTGCTTTAAATGTTTTGAATTGATTTAGACCACTGAGGCAGTCATTAAAAGGCACTGATGAAAGAGAACCCTCAGAACTTCTGTAGAATGTGGGAGGAAAGGTGGGCTAAGTGGGTTTTAAGTGAGAGAGTATTTGGAGAAGAAATGATTACAAAGTGTCTGTGTTGTAATATTTTTATGTTTATTTAAATGTCCAGCATACTTACCTGGCAGGGGAGACACGATGATCATGAAGGTGGTTTTCCCATTCGACTGACCCCTGTGATTTCATCAAGTGCAGGAAACTTGACTGCATAATTTGAGGTAGTGAGGGGCTGCATTCGCACTTTCTTCTGGAAAAAAAAGTGAATAACTATCCAGCATATTTTTATTATATATCCTACATAATGCATGTGATGAAACTTCCCTCCAGAAAGATTTTTGAAAGCACTCTGTGATTTTATGCATATATTTCTGAAGAGAATACTGTGAATATTTCTACCTCATTGAAAAAATAGACTATAAGTAATCTCATGCTAGCACAGATCTGCTTTG